AGCGAGAAGTCACCCCCAGGGGGGATGGCCACGCCGCAATCCCTTCTCCTCCATTCTCCTCTCGGGATCTTGGGCACGCACGCACACGCGCCCGGTGTGAGTTTAAGCCACCGGGTCTGAGACTCGAACTGTGGTCGACTACATGGGAGTCCAGCAACTTGGCCGTTAAACGCTAACTGCTGGTCCTAGGATTGGGCTTCTCCTGAGCAGGGACTTACTGCACCAAGGGGCTGGGGGGCAGCCATTTTTACACACGAGCAGACTGAGGTAGGGTCTTGTCTGAGGCCCCACAGCTGCTTAGAGGTGGAGGTGACCCGAGACTCCCAGTTTGGGGCTCTGTCCGTGGACCTTGCGGGGCGTGCCCTTGCTCAGGGGCCCAGGCAGCTGGCGTGGGCGTGGGCCCTGCGATCCTAGGTTCAGCCCAAAGTCACACACCCGTCAAGCCCTGCCCAGCGGGTGGGTCCCACGAGAGAAAGCCCAGCGCCCCCTCCTCGCGCCCCCGCCTGGACAGCTTTCAGAGCTGAGGGTCCGGCACCCAGGCCGCACTTCCCAAGGCAGTAGGCCCAGGCACGAGGGCAGGGAGCGGGCACAGGCGTCTCTAGATCCGACCACCGCAGCCAGGAAGCGGAGTCTCCCAGCACCACGCGCTGCACCGGGACTGCCGAGCTCCGGCACCAGTTACCGACCCTTTACACGCCGGCGCCGAGAAGCCGTGCCCACGGCAGGAGCCCTGCCCACACAGAGCAGCAGAGACTCGGGAAGGAGAGGCCACGCTCCCGGACGCGGAGGAAGCTGATGGCCGTGGCTGCACGGGCCCAAATCCCAGTGTCGGGAATGAGGAAACCCCAGGCGCCCCGCGAGCTCGGCGACACCGCGACACCGCGCTCTGGAGGCCTGGAGCTCGAGCTGCAGGGACTGCAGCCTGTGAGCCTCGGAGCCCCTCAGCCCACCAGCCCGCTGCAGCGCCCACGGCGTCGGGGGGCCTCCCCGTCCTTGTGCTCCCCGCGGTCGGACGCCACCTCTCCCACTGCTCGCTCCTGTAAGGACTCCCCAGGTCTCACTAGCCCTTCCCTCACACAGGGGCCAGCTCCCAAGGGCGACTCAGGAGCTCACTACTCAGTTCCCCGGGCCTCCCGGGTCTCACCAGCGGTCAGTGCCCGTCACCAGCGGTCAGTGCCTGTCTAGGGGCCTCCCCGGGTCTCTCACCTCTGGTTAATACACCCTGTCTACTTGCCCCTGTGAGATTTCTTCTCCATCTTCCCCTCCTCCCTTAAAAGAACGACACCGGGGACCAGCAGTTGGTGTAATGATTACATCATGGGACCCCATGTGGTCGATCATGGTTCAAGTCCCGACCCAGTGGCTTAAAAACCACACTGAACACATGTGCGAGCGTGCCCAAGATCCCGAGAGGAGAGTGGAAGAGAAGGGACTATGGCGTGGCCATGGGGGGGTGATTTTTCACTTTCTGTCTCTGTCTCTCTTGAGAGTCCATGCACCCTATAGCAAAAATCTCACTAAAAAATAAAAGCACTGAGTACCTAAGGGAGGAACCCTCCTGACGTGGCAACAACCGTGGGGTCCATAAAACCAGACTCTGAGCCCTCCTCGTCATAGCCCCACAGACAAGCTCTGAGCCTTGCCGCGACTGCGTGTGGCTTCCTGGATTCAGGGGACAACGCACACTTGGCACCTCCACGTACGTGACCTTCGGGGAGACGTGGCCTACACAAACAGCAGTCTGCCGAGAGGTTTGACGTGTTTATTTCACAAATTGTTCAGACTTGTCCATAAAAGATTCGTTACAGAAACATCTAGAAAATGTACTGAAATAATGGCAACAACGTGGCCCTGTCCACGCAAAGCACAGAACATTTACAGACTTTGTACACAGGAAGGAGTAAAATACACCCTTTTTCATAGAAAAAGCACACACATGAACTGCGGGCTCCGCGAGCCTCCCCACCAGGAGGCCAGCACACACCGCAGACGGGACGGGCGAGCACCCCGGAGACCGGAGCTCTCACGGGGAGCGGACTGACGCGTGGGTCTTCGAGATCTGGGTGGCGTGCCAAGAGCACCAGGCGTAACCCGAGGCCGTCCCTGCTTGGAATTGCAGTCCTGCCTCCATTTTCTGCAGAAAAGTGGTTCCAGTTTCAAATGCTCATGAGGAAGAAAAGCCTGCAGACCCGGCCAGCAAGCCGCCCTCCGGCAGCCGGCCCAGAGCGGGCGGCGCGGGGATGGACTTGTTTGGGAATGACGGGAGCGGCTCACTGCGGGTGCGGTCCACAATAAAGGGGTAAGAACGACCTCTGCATTCCGCATTCACTGGGGCATTATCCCACAAAGGGGCCAGGACCTAGGTCCCCAGGTAGGGTCCCCGGTGCACACCCACTGTCTTCCTTCTGCCAGCATTTCCGCCCAGAAGTACTTTGATGGAGAGTGAGATCCCATTAGGAAACAGGCCTCACGAGCGTGGCACACGGGCGAGGCTGGGCTGGTGGCAGAGTTTGCCTTCTGCAAAGACACGCTATTTCCAACTGGGTATTTCATTTCACCGTGGGTTTCTGGTCTGGGCGCAGGAAGAGCTCCTACGGAGCGATGGAAGCCAGAGTGCACCACACTCCCTGGAGCCTCGGGAATGTTCCACAAAAACAGGACGAGAAACGCTGCCAGGGCCTGCTGTCTCCCGCCACTACTAGGCCACAGGACGGCTCCCCGATCCCGAGAGGAGAGTGGAAGAGAAGGGACTATGGCGTGGCCATGGGGGGGTGATTTTTCACTTTCTGTCTCTGTCTCTCTTGAGAGTCCATGCACCCTATAGCAAAAATCTCACTAAAAAATAAAAGCACTGAGTACCTAAGGGAGGAACCCTCCTGACGTGGCAACAACCGTGGGGTCCATAAAACCAGACTCTGAGCCCTCCTCGTCATAGCCCCACAGACAAGCTCTGAGCCTTGCCGCGACTGCGTGTGGCTTCCTGGATTCAGGGGACAACGCACACTTGGCACCTCCACGTACGTGACCTTCGGGGAGACGTGGCCTACACAAACAGCAGTCTGCCGAGAGGTTTGACGTGTTTATTTCACAAATTGTTCAGACTTGTCCATAAAAGATTCGTTACAGAAACATCTAGAAAATGTACTGAAATAATGGCAACAACGTGGCCCTGTCCACGCAAAGCACAGAACATTTACAGACTTTGTACACAGGAAGGAGTAAAATACACCCTTTTTCATAGAAAAAGCACACACGTGAACTGCGGGCTCCGCGAGCCTCCCCACCAGGAGGCCAGCACACACCGCAGACGGGACGGGCGAGCACCCCGGAGACCGGAGCTCTCACGGGGAGCGGACTGACGCGTGGGTCTTCGAGATCTGGGTGGCGTGCCAAGAGCACCAGGCGTAACCCGAGGCCGTCCCTGCTTGGAATTGCAGTCCTGCCTCCATTTTCTGCAGAAAAGTGGTTCCAGTTTCAAATGCTCATGAGGAAGAAAAGCCTGCAGACCCGGCCAGCAAGCCGCCCTCCGGCAGCCGGCCCAGAGCGGGCGGCGCGGGGATGGACTTGTTTGGGAATGACGGGAGCGGCTCACTGCGGGTGCGGTCCACAATAAAGGGGTAAGAACGACCTCTGCATTCCGCATTCACTGGGGCATTATCCCACAAAGGGGCCAGGACCTAGGTCCCCAGGTAGGGTCCCCGGTGCACACCCACTGTCTTCCTTCTGCCAGCATTTCCGCCCAGAAGTACTTTGATGGAGAGTGAGATCCCATTAGGAAACAGGCCTCACGAGCGTGGCACACGGGCGAGGCTGGGCTGGTGGCAGAGTTTGCCTTCTGCAAAGACACGCTATTTCCAACTGGGTATTTCATTTCACCGTGGGTTTCTGGTCTGGGCGCAGGAAGAGCTCCTACGGAGCGATGGAAGCCAGAGTGCACCACACTCCCTGGAGCCTCGGGAATGTTCCACAAAAACAGGACGAGAAACGCTGCCAGGGCCTGCTGTCTCCCGCCACTACTAGGCCACAGGACGGCTCCCCAACCACAGGCCGCGCGGCTGACCTCGGCCCGGGGAGAGCCAGAAATCCATCCCTCCCACTGCTAGAAACTAGGTCAGCGCACAGGGCTCTGTGCGCCGAGCTGCCTTCCCCAGCTCTCCCAGACGTCTCAGTGGAACAAGATACAAGGACCGAGAAAGGCCGGGTCCTGGGAGTGACCGCAGGACTGCATTAGGGTGGGCGAGAGCTGCAGGGGGCTGGGGAGGAGAGTTCTGGTTCCTTGGTCCTCAATGGGACCAAAGGTCACGGCTGAACACAGATGGACCACGTGGAGGGAGGGGCGACAACGAAGACCATCTCTAACTAGGCCAGCACTGCTGCATGTACGGGGCTGCCCATGGCCAGGGACCTGCCCGTGGCTAAGGGGCCCAGGAGGACACTGGCAAGGCCACGGCGGGGACGGGGCCGGCCCCTCACTCCCCACCTCTGCTCCAGCCCATTTGTCTGACCTGCAAACTTTAAACCAGATTCTCTACTGGCAAGGACGGACTGAGTTTTCGAAAAATTTAAATATCGTAACTATCCTGTACTCCCTTCCTGAAACACGCCCTGTTCCCACGCCAGGAACGCCTCCCAGCTGTGAGCTCCAACCCTCCCTTCTCCCAGGAGTTTGGAATCCTCTCCCTCCTCCCACCCGAGGACACATGACAGGGAACATCTTGGGTGACAGTCCCCTCTAGGAGATGGGTCCGATCCCTACAGAGAGGGGTGCCCAGATGGAGACCCCAGACCTCAGCAGGACCGTGTGACCGTGGCCCACCGAGACCTGAGGACATGGCTTCTCCATGGTGGGGGACACACGGGGGTGGACAGCGAATGTCACTGGAAGGACATCTGCCGCATCTCCATACCCTCACCCACCCACCCCCACGCAAAATAAACACACAAAGCGGAACCCTGCAGCCCTCGTGGCGACGCCCCCTCCCTGCTGGAATTCATGGCCTGACAGCAAAGATCCGGAAGGCCTTGCCATCCCGAGGAGTCCCCAGGCTGAAAAAGAAGGAGAAGCGTGTTAGGAGGGTCTGAGGCCCCTGCAGGGATGTGCTGGGGTGAGTGCCCACGGGAGGGCCACGGGAGGCGGCCATGGCAGCTGCTGTGGACAGCCCACCCCGCGGGGCGCTGGCAAACCCACCTTGCAGGCGGGCTTCCCTGAACCCCTCGGTCGTTCAGGTACGTCCTTTGAATCCGGGGTTTCCTGGCCCCAGCCCATCTGGATGAGATGCGCCCTCCAGACTTTGGCCTGGTTTTCACTACCGCCTCAGCCAAACAGTGGCCTCTGGGTGCGGTGCGTGTGGCGGGTGCCGCTGCTGCCAACTGGGCACGCCGGCAGGGCTCGGATTCATGCCCGGTGCCACGCCAGCTGCTCTTGACACACCTTTCACCTCCTCCTGAGCTGGGTCTGTAATGGCCCCCCGTTACAGGCGCGGAAACCGAGGCAGAAGAACCCAGTGACTGACCCGAGGTCACGCAGCCAGGAACACTGTCTGACCACGGGAGTCGAATCTGTCAGCACCAGTCACCGCCCAGAGCTTTGCCGTATGACAGCCGTGGATTCACCCACCGCCAACGGGGAACCCGATGGCTCGGAGCCCTGGCCAGTCAGCTTCAGGTCGCTGCCATCGCCCGAGAGAGCCTCCAGGCCTGTTTGTAACCAACGCCCCATCCCAGCCCTCAGCCCCATTAACCTGCTTTCTGCTTCTTCGGGCTTTCTCTCTGGACGACACGAGGCACTGCGTCCGGCTTCTCTCACTTAACAGTGACATTGTGAGCTGCCGCCAATGCTGTGCACGTATCAGAATCTAATACCTTTCTTAAAACGCTGACGTATTGGAACCAGCAGACGGTGTAGGGTTACATCGCTGGACTCCCACGTGGCTGACCATGGTTCAAGTCCCAGACCTGGTACTTCAAGATCATGCCCTGTGTAAATACATGCCCAAGGTCTTGGGAGGAGAACGAAGGAGGGATGACGGTGTGGCCGTCCCCTCTGGGGGGCGATCTCTCACCTCCCTCTCACTGTCTGTTTCTCTCTCTTTCTGGCGAGTGCGTGTACCCTAAGGCAAAAAAATCTCTTTTTTACAAAAAAGTTTATGTGTTTGTGTGTGGGTGTAGGGTGTGTGGGGTGTGTGTGTGTGGTGGGAGTATGTGAGGTGTGGGGTGTGTGTGCTGAGTGTGGTGTGTGTGGTGTATGTGATATGCATGGTGTGTGTGTGTGCTGTGTGCAGTGTGTGCTCCATGTGTCATGCGTGGTGTGTGCACTGTGTGTGGTATGTGTGGTGTGCGCTGTGGTACATGGTGTGTGTATGGTGTGTGTGGTTGTTGTTTGTAGTGTGTATACATGGTATGTGCATGGTGAGTGTGCGTGGTGTGTGCCGTGTGTGTTGTGCGGTGCATGGTGTGTTGTGTGGTGTGTGCTGTGTGGTGAGGTGTGTGTGGTGCGTGGTGTGTGTGTGCTGTGTGCTGTGTGGTGAGTGTGTGTACTGTGTGGTGTATGCTGCGTGCGCTGTGTGGTGTGTGTGGTGAGTGTGTGTACTGTGTGGTGTATGTGGTAAGTGTGTGTGGTGTGTGTGGTGTGTGTGTGGTGCATGGTGTGTTATATGCTGTGTGTCTGTGATGCATGGTGTGCTGTGTGGTGTGTGTGGCGTGTGTGTGGTGTATGCTGTGTATGCTGTGTGGTGTGTGGTTGTGTATGGTGAGTGTGTGTGCTGTGTGGTGTATGCTGCGTGCGCTGTGTGGTGTGTGTGGTGAGTGTGTGTACTGTGTGGTGTATGTGGTAAGTGTGTGTGGTGTGTGTGGTGTGTGTGTGGTGCATGGTGTGTTATATGCTGTGTGTCTGTGATGCATGGTGTGCTGTGTGGTGTGTGTGGCGTGTGTGTGGTGTATGCTGTGTATGCTGTGTGGTGTGTGGTTGTGTATGGTGAGTGTGTGTGCTGTGTGGTGTGTGTATGGTGTATGTTGTGTGTTGTGTGTTGAGTGTGTGTGGTGTGTGTGGTGTATGCCGTGTGCTGTATGTGTAGTGTGTGTATGTGTGTGCTATGTGTGTGTGTGTGGTGCATGGTGTGTTGTACGCTGTGTGTGTGATGCATGGTGTGCTGTGTGCTGTGTGGTGTGTGAGGTGTGCGTGGTGTATGCTGTGTGCTGTGTGTGCTGTGTGGGGTGTGTGTGGTGTATGCTGTGTGTGCCGTGTGCTGTGTGGGGTGTGTGTGTGTGTGTGTGTGTGTGTGTGTGTGTGTGGTGCATGGTGTGCTGTGTGCTGTGTGCAGGTGTGTGTGGTGTATGCTGTGTGCTGTATGTGTGGTGTGTGTGCTGTGTGCTGTATGTGTGGTGTGTGTGCTGTGTGCTGTGTGCTGTGTGTGCTGTGTGGTGTGTGTATGGTGTATGTTGTGTGTTGTGTGGTGAGTGTGTGTGGTGTGTGTGCTGTGTGCTGTGTGCTGTATGTGTGGTGTGTGTGTGTGCTATGTGTGTGTGTGGTGCATGGTGTCCTGTGTGCTGTGTGTGGTGTGCGTGGTGTATGCTGTGTGTCGTGTGCTGTGTGCTGTGTACTGTGTGCTGTGTGGGGTGTGCGTGGTGTATGCTGTGTGTCGTGTGCTGTGTGCTGTGTACTGTGTGCTGTGTGGGGTGTGCGTGGTGTATGCTGTGTGTCGTGTGCTGTGTGCTGTGTACTGTGTGCTGTGTGGGGTGTGCGTGGTGTATGCTGTGTGTCGTGTGCTGTGTGCTGTGTACTGTGTGCTGTGTGGGGTGTGCGTGGTGTATGCTGTGTGTCGTGTGCTGTGTGCTGTGTACTGTGTGCTGTGTGGGGTGTGCGTGGTGTATGCTGTGTGTCGTGTGCTGTGTGCTGTGTACTGTGTGCTGTGTGGGGTGTGCGTGGTGTATGCTGTGTGTCGTGTGCTGTGTGCTGTGTACTGTGTGCTGTGTGGGGTGTGCGTGGTGTATGCTGTGTGTCGTGTGCTGTGTGCTGTGTACTGTGTGCTGTGTGGGGTGTGCGTGGTGTATGCTGTGTGTTGTATGCTGTGTGTGTGTGATGCATGGTGTGCTGTGTGCTGTGTGAGGTGTGCATGGTGTATGCTGTGTGTGCCGTGTACTGTGTGCTGTGTGTGGTGTGCGTGGTGTATGCTGTGTGTCGTGTGCTGTGTGCTGTGTACTGTGTGGGGTGTGCGTGGTGTATGCTGTGTGTGCTGTGTGCTGTGTGCTGTGTGTACCGTGTGCTGTGTGTGCTGTGTGCTGTGTGCTGTGGGTGTGTGTGTGTGATGCAGGGTGTGCTGTGTGGTGTGTGGGGTGTGTGTAGTGTATGCTGTGTGTGCTGTGTGCTGTGAGGTGTGTGAGGTGTGTGTGGTGTATGCTGTGTGTGCTATGTGTTGTGTGGTGTGTGAGGTGTGCGTGGTGTATGCTGTGTGTGCCGTGTGCTGTGTGGGGTGTGTGTGGTGTCGTCACAAGCCTCGTGCCTCAGCCTCCTGAGCAGCCAGGACAGCACACACCGTACCGGGCCTGGCTCCTCAGGACGGGCTGGGCTCCCCGTGTGGCCTCAGCGTGTGGGGCGCATCCCCCACCATGGCAAGGGGGCCTGCTTCCTTCACGGCGTCTCTCCAGGTACTGAAGCCTTCACTCCGGCAAAGCCCGGGTTCATCTGTGGCGTGCGCTCCGGCGTCACGCAGAGAACCACTGCCCCTTGGCCCTGAAGACCCGAGACTGCTCCACGGTCGGCAGCTCGGCTCTCGCTAGCCGCAGGCCTGCACCCACCTGCACGTCTCACGTGGCGTGGAGCGCAGCTTGCAGGTAAACACCCAATTTCCCGCACCATGTATTAAGAAACTTCTCCCGGCCACTGGCGGGCTTGGCACTCCGGTCGGAACCGGTGGGCGATAAACGTGGGCTTTCTCTCTGCGCTTCCCGCTGGATCTCAGTCCGTCATCCTCACAGTGTCCCATTGTCCTGACCACTGTAGCTTTGTGTCGGGAGCCCAGTGCTCCCTAGGGTCCTTGTAGCTGTATGGCCCCCTCCCAGGACACCAGGCTTCATGGGGCTCATCACACCTGCCACCCCACCACACCGTCTCCTTCCCTGCATCTCTCTGCTGAGCCCCGGGCTCACCTATCTGCCGAGAGCCCTGAGTCACGATTGCACCGGGGCTGGCCACCCTCCCGTCCCCCTGCCACCGGACCACTGCTGTTTCCAGTGGCCAGAGGTGCACGATTTCCCACACCCTGCTCCAACCCAGCAAAGCTGCAGTTGTCCGCCTGCCCTGGGCTGGTAGGGCCGCCAGCCACCGGGGCCGGGCTAGAGAAGCGTCCATGGAAGCAGCCCCAGCTTAGACATGTGATTCCTTCTGCTCTTACCTGAGGCTCAAGTGGTTTTGAACAAATGCTTTTGAACTCGTTATATGACTTTGCAATTTCCTGAGTTTTCAGGATCCCCAAACAGCTGTTTTCCAACATAGTTGTGGGAAGAGGTGTCCCCAAGTGTCTTGAACGCCATTCCGGAAGCCCAGCCTCCCAGCATTTTCTGCAGTGGTGTCCCTCTAAGAGCCACGCGCTGTCTGAGCTCAGGTGCCACACCGTCTCGATGGTGTGAGGACAGCCACCAGGACGTACTGTGAGAGCACCCGACTTGGGGCAGGGTGGGGAGGGCGTGGAGGAGGCCTGGGAGGTGGGGGGTGTAGAACTCAGTCTGGAGGCCACTGCTTTGGACCCAGCTCCGGCACTGGCCCCGCGGACCTGAGCGGGTGCGCCCATGGCATGCCACAGGTGCCGCGGACTCAGACCTAGCTAGACGGGGCCGGCTTCCAAACCCAGGTTCACAGCAAGCAGTCAAGGGGAACTGGGTCGACAGCCCCCGCCGTGACCAGCAGGAAAGACCGCGAAGCAACCAATCCCTCTCCTCCCTGCTGCACAGCCTCGCTCTACTGCAAAGCCCGCTCCTCTGTGGGCTCGTCCGCGAGCCTTCCTGCAGGGCCGATGCTGCCCGACTCGACGCACGGGCACAGGTCACCTCCA